TCCCCCCCCCCCCCCCCCCCCCCCACCCCCCCACCGTACCCATTTCGTTGGTGGTTGACATACAATACTTGAATACCAAACGACCTCTACGGAGATACAGAGTGGTCGCAGCGAGTGCGAGATGTCTGGTGTTGGTCGTATCGTGTTGGTGGTCCTTGTTGGGAGGGGGTGAAAGTCCTTATTTGGGGGCCTGGATCTTGGTCGACCTCGACAGAAGCGCTGGGACTAGCGAGGTCTAAGGTGGGGATTGATATGAAAAGGTGTCGAAGGCATATGCCAGGGGCAGTGGGTAGGGTGCGATCGAGCCTGGAGCTGATGGAGAGAGTGAGAAGGTCACACATTCCAGATGATAAACCGTCTGCCATTTCGGGTTGGGGCTTCCACAAAAATCAGTTAGGTCGTCCGGGTTGGCTGTTGGGTTGAATCAAGGCCAGGGAGTTTACGATACACGCATGTTAAATATCAACGGCAAATTTGAGGCCGAGAACCGGGCGAGAACCGGGCGAGAACCGGGCGAGAACCAGGCGAGAACCGGGCGAGAACCAGGCGAGAACCAGAGAATAATACAAGCAGTCTCAGAAGGTTGCGCAATGGTGTTTCGATATAAAGTCGCCAAATTGTCTGACAATATATTTTGTCAGACGTCCTTCACTGCATTCGACAGCTGTGATTGCAGCTACGTGTGGAATAAAAAGTCACTTTTTTCGCCGACTTTGTCACCCTAAGGGGATGAAGATTCTTCCAGTTGCAGCAAAAGGCAAGATGATGACATTGTTGCCACACACTCCTTGATCGTGTTGGAGTGAGAGAAGAGGAACGAACGTATGCAGTTGCATCATCCATTGGGATTGCGCCAATCACCCAATCAAAGGTGTGTGTGTACGTGTACTGTCAGCATTGATGACCATGCAAGTGTCATTCATCTTGATGATCAACGCGTTGTTGTCATTGGAGCGCTGGCGCAGCTGTTGCTGTTGCTGTTGTTGTGGTGGTGATGACCCATGCTCATCATCTTCAGCAACATTCTCCATCCATCATCACCCGCTTGGCTTGCCATGCCACAGCGACAATCAGCACATGATTCGCTGCAACCGCCGCGCTTTGGAGCCCCCTCCGATCCGCCCGCTGTTGGAAAAAAAAGGGGCTGGGCCAAGGGGATATGTGCTGATCGATTGCCCAGCTGTTGCATTTTTCAAGACCTCGGGGTGCTCAAGAAGCACTTCGGCTTGGGCCTCTGCCCTTCCATGCAGCTCGTCGATCTCTCGGTGCGCCAGGTGCATCTCAGCAGGTTAGTTTGAGGCACACACCACCACCTTTAACAACACACTGCCCTCTCTCCCCCTTTTCATCTTTCATTGCAAAGATGGCGAGGACGCTGCCAATTTTCGCCCACCTCACGTTTTGTGTTGCCCTGCCCACCTTCCCCTTATGGCTTGTGTTCTGCTGCTCGTTGTAGTCGGACTCCACCCTCTGCCGAACATGTTTCATTGGCCCAGACCTTTTACAATACCCTTATCGCCCCCAACTTCCACGATGAGGAAATGGAACCTTTCGAGCACTGGCTCGACATGCTCCGAGCCACCAGCACGGGCGCCCAGGTATGTCTTTCAACCCGATCGCCCAAGGCCAAATACAAAGCTGATCTGCACCGGCTGTTGCATCTCCCCATTTCTTTGGGCTCATGTTCTTGCACGTCTGCATGCATGGCATAGGCGCTGCCCCTCCTCTGCACGGATGGCTCCACCTCGCTGACACTGTGTCCTTACCAAAACGAGTTCCATATCTTGTTGCTGGTGGAGGACGACAGCAATGAGATTATGGCCGGCATGTGCTGCGAGATGTACAACCTCAGTCGCACTGCCTTTGTGACCTACCTGGTTACATCACCGAAGTTTGCACGTCGCGGCCTGGCCCGTCGCTTGCTCAGCACCCTCGGTGAACTGGACGTCCCCCTGCAACATGAGCAGGACTACAACCGGTGCGTCTCCGAGACTGGCCCTCCCTGTGTTGGCTTCTTTGTCCTTTGAACTGATGTCTTCTCATCTCCTCTTCCGTTCGTGCCGCCCATGTGTTGCAGCCTGCCGATGCAGATTCTCCTCGAGGCCCACCGCCCGGGTGTGGAGGATGGCGTGATGGACTCGCTGGTCCGCTTGCGCGTGTATGAAAATCTCAACTTTTTCCCCGTCAAGTTTGATTACGCCGCGCCCGCCCTTGAGGATGGCAAGCACCCCGTGCAGAGCACTTTCTACCTGCTCCTGCACACGACGGACCGCACTCAGATTGAGGCCAGCCGTGTCCTCGCCTTTATCATCGAGTACTTTGCTGCCAGTTTTACCAGCAAGGACGACTGGGCGTGCTTCGTTGGTATGCAAGCCGAGTGTGCCGCTGTCCTCGACTTTCCTCTTCTTCAACTTGACAAGGAGTCGGCCATCCTCCAGCCCAAGCGTCCGATGCCCCTGGCGGCTTAGTCGTTGAAATAGGCCGTTCATGACGAGCATACTTTGCCTACATAAGACGCTTCCAGGTCGGCTTTGTACGATAACCTTCATTTCTTCTTCTGGGTGCGATGCTTTGGGCACAGGCACTCGCTTAGAGTGTCCAGGTGCTACGACCCATTGTGAATGACTCTTTTTCGATCTTGGGGCTTGCACGCACAATTGATGCAATGCTTCACATACACCCCCTCTCTCCCTCCTCCGATTGCCCCTTCCCTTTGACACGGGATTTGAACAACCCCCACCCCCCCCCTTAGACGGAATGAAACCAAGGAAATCTTGCTGTCTCTCTGTGCCTTTAATTATTTTTCTCTTTTTCTCTTACATTTCTCTCTCTTTCTCTTCTGTTTTCTCTCTCTCTCTCTCTCTGTTTTCTCTCTCTCTCTCTCTCTCAAGGAACAACGTCACGTGTGCAAGTTTCGCGCGCGGCTCGTTCTCTGGTGGGAGAGCCGTTGGTCAGCCAGCCGGGTCTCCCTCATGTCTGCTGGGTACACGTTTTAAAGTACAAAGACGCTGGCACCCTCGCGTTGCCCCATTTGGTTTTTGTCAAGTCGACACTGTGGGGGTAACGAGGGAGCTGCGGGGGGCCCTGCAGATCCAGCAAAGGTTGGCGGCATGGCCATGTAGCACGTGAGGCTTTGGAAGCATTCCCACGAGCTGTCATGACGCTGCTGTTATCCATCCTGGCAAGGCGCGCGCGCATCGCACGTCTTCGGCCAACGGGTCTACAACCGTCCTCTCGCATGACCGTGCCCTGTCCTCGTCCACGGTCCCAATCAGCGCTTGCCTCCCAGTTTCGATGCCTCGCCACAACCGCCAGAACGGCAGAGCGCAATTCAGGCCAACCCGAGCTACCCAAAGTCCCGTTTTTTGAGGGCCGCGAAAAATTGCTCGAGCTTTGGTTTGATGAACCAGCCCGCCTCTCGGCTGCTGGACAAGGCCTACGGACCATCCCCAGGTGCGCGTTGCCCGCCTCTCTCACCCCCTTTCCTTTCTTTCTCGCTCGATACCGCCCGATGTAGCCACCTCACATGACACAATTTCGTGTCGCGATGGAATGACAGAGCCGCATGGGACCGCCTTTTGGGGCTGGCTGATTGCACCATCATCGAGGAGCAGCGTACTCCGCTCATGGACGCTTACATTCTGTCGGAAAGCTCCCTCTTTGTCATGCCCGAGCACATTGTCATCAAGGTGTCACCTTGTCAGCCCTGTACCAGCCTTGGGCCAGCCCACACAGCCATTCTGACCGGATTCTGACCATTACTCTTGGCTTGGTAGACATGCGGCTCCACTGCACCCTTGCTAGCTCTGCCTGACTTGTTGGAAGAGGCCTGGGCGCTCTCCCGCCAAGATGTGAGACATGCGCCTCCTTTCCTATTTGGCACGCCAGATGTGGCGTCAAGACTCACGGGTCATCCTGCTCTAGCTGGTCGAGGTATACTACTCGCGCCACGACTATTTACAGCCAAACCTGCAGGCGTTTCCACACGAGGACTTTGGCCAAGAGGTGACCTTTTTGGAGAGTCATGTCGGACCAGGAGTGGCGCGCCAATTTGGCCGCCCGGACGAGCACCAGTGGAACCTGTTCGCGGCCAAGCGCGGGTCCTCTGTACATGCCAGTCAAACCATCGAGGTGGGGCCTGTCTCGACACTTGTGACCGCAAACCCATGGTGACATGCTCCCCCGCTCGGCTCGCTGAGCTCAAACGCCCCGCAACCATCGCTTGCTCAATGTTTGATTCTTGCGTCCGGGAACTAGGTGATTATGTATGACGCCGACCCTACTGCCATGGCCATCTTTTATGAAGTGAGCTCTTCGTCTTCCCCTCCGCGTACCGAGCTCGCGCCCTGGCCGGCCAAGTGGTGAGACAGATGATAACCAGGTGGGCGGGCTTGCAGAGTGGTAGGACCAAGGAGGCTGTGACATTGGACAGTGGGATTGCCGACCTCTTGCCAACCTTTGATATACGCGAGGCGCTCTTCTCTCCGTGCGGCTATTCTTGCAACGGGGTGCATGCGGTAGGGCCACGACTCTCATCCGCCCTTTGTCAAATGAACCATCAGCCTGCCTCTACGCTCTCACCCTGGTTGCTGTTGCTGTGTTGGCTTGTCGATATACAGGGGGCATATATGACCGTGCATGTGACGCCACAGCCCGAATGCTCGTACATTAGCTTTGAGTCCAATGTTTTGATGCGGGATTACACCGACTTGGTGACGGCTTGCACACGGGCCTTTCGCCCGAAACATGTCCAAGTCGCCATTGTGAGCAACAACCACCACGACTTGGAAGCTCCCCTCAGTGATCACCTACATGGCTTTCAGCTAAACCACCACAGTCACGAGGGCATGCATGACCATAATGTATGGCATCTGGCATTTCACCAGTCCTAGCTTTTTTTTTTCGGGCGTTTGTTTCCTTATTTTCGCACTGGCAAGACATCGAGAATTGAGAGTTCAGAGTTCCGTCGTGCAGCTGACCATGGCGTTACTCACTTTTAAGGTGGTAAAATCGAGACTAGAGATTGTAGACATGTGTCAAGGAATTTGATTATCAATCGATTTTGATTGGATGCGCATGGACAAGCATGCAAGGGCACAGCCCTCTCAGTTCGAAAGGCCCAGAAAAAAAGCCAATAGTTAGGTTGTGGGGGGGACCAAATAGCTTGATCAATAATGATCGTGGGGTCGTTTACTCAGGAAAGAATGGCAAGACAATAGAGAACACATCGGAAACTCAGGGCAACGAAACGTTTACAATGAATCAGGAGCAATCAAGGAGGGGGAGTAAGACTCGACTCCGCAATGGTTTGCTTATGACGAAAGTCGGAAATCAGATAAAATCAGCATGGCCGAGCATAGGCAGTTACATGACGGTGGTACGAACGCGGGCTTCAGAGTGCGCGCCGTTCTTCTTGAACAAGACTTGTTTTGATGAAGTAAGGGGCTCGGGGCTGGGAGCCATGTCTGGGGAGCTGCGGCCTGAGTCACAACCGGCTGGCTCTGGAGAGCCGCACGTGATGCCGCTGTCGTGGCTAGCACGGCTGCCGGTGGAATTGGAGATGATACGGCGGCGGCGAGACTGTTCCTCACGGCGAAACCAGGGCTGGTCTTGATCCAAAAAGGCGGCCATCTCGGCTAGAGTGGCACGCTGTGATGGGCAGGGGTTCAGCATCCGGAAGAGCAGGTTGCGGAGCTTGGAGGAGAGGAGTTGCAGACGAGGTCCGACGGCGAGCGCACCCCGAGAGATGTACAGGTTGAAGTTGGGGTCGTGCTTGTCAGCACGATCCCAGGGCAGGTCGGCAAAGAGCATGGCATACCAGGTCAAGGCGATGGCCCAAACATCCTGAGAAGTGTGGCAGGCACTGCGGGAGAGAAGCTCTGGCGCCATGTATAGTTCGGTACCGGCGATGCGGCTTGAGTACTTGAAGCCAGCGGGAACGACGGTGCCAAAGTCATGGAGGATGAGGTTGGAGTTTTCGTCAATGAGGCAGTTTTCGGGCTTGATGTCGCCATGAACGAGGCCGGCGGCCTCAAATGCCTGGGCGGCTGTGATGAGTTGGCGAATCCAGCGTTTGGAGTCGCGAGCGGTAAGGGGCTGTTTAGCATCGGGGCAGACGCGTTCAAAGAGGGCGCCGTTGCTCATCAGAGGCATGGCCAAGCAATGAACGTCCTTGCCCTCGAATTGAGCCTGAAACTGGTCCAAGATCTTGGCCGTGTGACCGCAGTGTTGCATGCGGTGGGCCGTGCTGGCCTCGTGGCTGGCTTCGTGCTTGCCGGTGGATTTGGTCATGATTTTGACGGCGACGGTTTGTGCCTGGCGCAGGTCGACCGCGCGGTACACCAGAGCCGAGGCACCCCGCCCGAGCTGTTCGCGCAGCAAGTAGCGCTCATTCAAGCATTGCTCCATTTTGTCCAGGTTCTTGACTGGCAACCCGATGGCAGCCAGACCAAGAAGGGGATGGTACAGAGAAAAGAGCGAGTTCAATACAAGCGAGTGTGACCGTGCACAAGAAAGGAAGAGAGAAGACACACGGAGAGTGGGAGAGAGAGAGAGCCAGCGACGAGATGTGGCGCGAGTTGTAAAATGCCATCTGCTCATTCCAGCCCTCCACCCCTTCCAAGGGGCACAATGAGAGCCGTGTTCCGTAGGGTTTGTTACCGTTCCTCGTCGGTGAGGATGAGTGAGACTGCATCGTCCAGCACTTGGACGCTTATGTCAACATGAGCATGATGTCTGTCCTCCAGCCTGACGGATGGTTGGGATGTATGGTGGGGATAAGTTTACGAGCCCTTCAGTTCCCGCGATCAGCACTCCCATTAGAATTCAAATGGAAAGACCTCTCAAAGCCACCACCCATGGCCAAGCCAAGGGAGAGAGAGGTTGGGACAAAGGGGCATGAGATTGACAGTGAAGCAGCTTCAGATGATGGGGGTTCATCAGATGAGAGCCAGCCAAGCCAGGTTCCCGAAGCTACCAGTTAGAAGCTGCGCAGCAAGACAACAAACAACCAACCAACCAACCAACAAACAAACAAACACCCCCACACACGCACATACATACACTCGGGCCATTACGGCAAGTGATGGCATCATGGACGTGCTTGGGATTTACGGGTGAGTGAAAATGAGATACACAAGTGGGTCGCGAATGAGGGTGACGAACCACCCCCCCCCCCCCCACAACTTGATGCCTTGAAGTTCTGGCTTTGAAGCGCGAGCCCTTTGTTTGGCTGAGTTGGGTGGGATCCAGGCCAAAGGCATGCTGAGGTATCGAAATATGGTGAGATTGGACAATTTCCAAAGAAGTGTCTCCGGTCTGTCCAATTTTCTACAGAAGTTGCTATTTCTCTCAAGAACATTCAAGCAGTCTTCCTCTTGCTGCGTTTTATTTTACAAAATCATCGATCTGCGCATCTTGATGACAGGCGCCTTCCTTCCTACCAATGCCGGCCCCTCATCTTTCATACTGGCCGATCGCCCCATGCTCTACGCCCTTTGCACCCACATCGGCGATGAGTCTGGTATGGCTCGCAAATACCAGATGTGGCCTTGACTCAAGATGCACCGTCGTTACCAATTGATATCCTTGCATGTTGATCTCCAAAGTTGTACTTTGGGTGCCAAGAGAGAAGACTAATGTGCGCCGTGCTGAGCACCATTCTTGACTCTGGTTCGGGGTCGGTGCTTTCAGCGAGGGCTGCTCAGATGGCAGCAATGACGTTTGTGGGCAAACACTAAATTGGCAGTCCTCAAGAAAAAAAAAAAAGAAAGGTTGGTGCCTTCAACGGCCCAACAACACGAAACGGTTACGGCGAAACCCACATCCGCACAACCTCAATCGCGGCAATCAGGACAGCGACAATTGCCCAGCATGGTGCAAGGGCCATTATACTGGGCTGCTTCCGTCTTCCCTCCTTGCGCAAAAGCATCGCCCCGACTCACACCTTTCCAAGCAAAAGATGCACCAATTGGATGGGAATGAGAACAGGTTGGGCCTTCAGGAAACGGTTAGCCAGAAAGAGAGGGAGGAGCACCTCAAACAAAAACGGCCCCAACCAGAAAAGATGACAAAAGGCACAAGCAAAGCAAACTGTGCGAAAGTCCAACCCCAACCAAGGAGCTAAGTCTGGCCAACAAACTTACGACGCAGTGCACTTGAAGTCAGGGTCAGCGATCCGTCCTGAATGTTGGAGTCAACGCCATTTGACCCAGCAACCCCTCGCTGCCGGTAAGGTGTTTGCTGCTGCTGCAGTTGTTCTTGCTGCTGCGAGTGTCCCTGAGATCATTTGCAGAAAGGACAACACCCCCAATCAAGCCGACATCGACATTGAAATGAGGATGAGAGGCCCCTCAGAAGCAACAGTTGGTCTTCATATACCAGTCGTTGGCTCGCGTGCGACCCCAATCAACAACATAAAAAAAAAAAAAACTGATCCGCAAGGACCATGACGAGGCTGGACATTGATCATTGCACATTGCAGCGCAAAGGGCAACCGCCCATGTAACAGGGGCATAATGGAAGGACACAACCCTTCGAGACAGCCAAAGACATGCACAATCTCAACGCACCAAAGACTGAGAAGAGCTTGTTTGCGGTTGTTGCTTCACGCTGGCAACGGGCGGCGCCCCAGCTCGCAGATCGGACCCTTGCATGGCCATCGATGACCGATTGCTCCCCGCCCCTGCTGCTGGGGCGCGAGAGATGGAGTTTCGGCCGCTGGGCAGCTCGCTGGTGCTACTGTAATCGCCACTTGCAGGTTGCGTACGCGACGCATGCTGGCCCCTGATGTGATTCATGACGGGAGCGTGCACCACGCCTTCCAAGTTCGTCGGCGTGGTGCCCGTGGGCGTGTGAACACTCACCCCGCCATGCCCCGGCGGTCCCCGGCCTAGAGGTGCGGCCAGTGAACCATGCGGCACTGCCATGGCTGGTGCCGACGATGACGGGCTCCCCGCACCTTCAAAGCCGTACAGTGGTGGCATGCTTGGTGCAACGTCACGCCGCAAAGCATGACGGGTGGACAGTGTGGAGATGAGGTGCTCTGGATTCTCGCCAGACTCCTCAGCAGCCGAAAGCACCGCATTCACGAGCTGTTGCCGCAAAGTCTCCATCTGCAACCCAGAAGGAAGTGAGTATGTCTGCCCACGCGAACACAGAAAGGCACGACGGCAACACGCACGACCTACCTCGGAGCGGAGTGTGTCGTTCTCTTGCATCAACTGGCGCGTGGCATCTTCTTGCGCCCGGGCCAAGTAGCGGCCCTGTGCCCCCGCTGAGCCCGCGTTGCTAGCCAGGTCATTCGGCATGCTAGGCGAAGTTTGGTATCCCGATTGATAAACTGCGCTCCCATGCGGTGCATAGTAGCCATGGGAAGGGCCCTGTGCCGGGGCAGGTCCGACGCGTTGATAGGCTGATTCGGGAGCGTGCAAGGACGAACCACCATACCCTCGATATTGTTGTTGCTGCGGCTGCGGCTGCTGCTGCAAGTGACTGTAGGTCGGCTGCTGAACTGGGTGGCTGGTCTGGTAGTTTGGTTCGAGGCCTGGTTGATAGGCAGCCGCATGCTGCGAAAGAGTTGCTTGTGTTAAGGGCAGACTGGGGGAGGCTGCCGGCATGTGATAGTCCGCGCTGCTGACGGGCTGGTAGACACTCGCATAGGCTGGGTCAGAGCTGAGGTACGAGTCAAACTGTCGTGGTTGAGCCGTGTGCACTGGGACAGAAGATGGAACTGAGGCTGGGGCTGTGAAATCCGGTTGGCTGCAATTTCATCACAGCGAGCAGATGGCAGTCAGAAATTGCTTGTGCCACAACTCAAAGGCAGGGAGGGCAGCGGACGGCCCCTTGACTGTGCTTGACAAAATTAACCTGAGATCCCGGTCGATTTCGCGCAACGCCGCCGGTGACATCAAGCGTCGATGAATGGCCTAGCCAGTCCAATTCCGTGTATGAGCTGTCCTGCCAACGAGCTCGCGGCCACCGCTCACAAAAAGCAATAGGCTCAAGAGGACCTACCGTGGCCGAGGGGCGGGCATGCGCTTGCGCATTCCAGCAATCAGCCATCACATCGAATACATCATCGGGACATGCTGCAGGCTATATATATCCAAGAAGTCAGCCGTCATTCCACCTGAATGCGAAAACCCAAAACATCTCATGGCTGTCTGCACAGTGACGATCAGCGGGCGCAGAGGCTGACTTGGGGCATAAGGGCTCCGCGCTGAACTTCGCGCATGGTAGCCATGGCTTTGCTTTGGTCCTGCCATTCCTCTACGCGGTAAGGCAGCTTGCCTGTGCCCGCAAGCGTTTTGAGAACCAGGTTCGGTGGGTGCCACAAAAGAGTGGTTTGTAGAACGAGAAAATGCTTGCGATTCAAAGAGGACGCACCACTAGTAAATAGTTCATAGAGGAAAAAGCCAAAGGCCCAAACATCTTCAGCTGAGTTGAGCCGTCGCTGCGCTGTTTCACGTCCGGCGCACTCTGGGGGCGACCAGCGCATGACGCGTTCCTGCTCTGGCGTCATGTACCAGCCTTCAGGTGAACGGTCGTCCGGTTGCTACAGGGGCAGACAGGCCCATGTGTACAGAGTAAGCGGTGAGCATTGTGCCCACACTTTCACCCACCAAGCAGTGGGATGGCCATTCAAAAACAACAGCGGTTGAAGGGTGGGCACGAGACCCATGACTCGATGTTGTCCATTTCAACGGCACACCCCATGCCAGGCCTGCTTTCACTGGCTCGCCAGCAGACGCAGCAGGCAGCTTACCTTGCGGCGAGCAAAGTTGCCCAACTTGGTCTGCAGCGTATCTGTCAGGAACACCGAGCGTGCTGCCACGTCCCAGTGTACCACCATCAGGCTAATCCGATCCAAAGGACGAGGCGGTGAAAGGAAGTTTGGCGGTGACGGTGAGGCGCGATGGGAAGCATGTCAAGCCAGGCGATGAAGGGGGTGCTGGGCGTGAGACTAAAGCCAAAAGGCAGACAGCAGAAGAAAGTGGCGGCGGCTGCCGTGCCATTCGAGGCGACGCGGGTGACTGACGAATGAATATGGCTCAGGGCGTCAGCAATTTCAAGTGCCATTTTGCGCAGGACGGCCGGCGAGAGTTGGGCGTGGGAAGTCAGGTACTGATCAAGGCGCCCCTGCTTCATTTGCGCCATAGCCATGATGTAGGGCTCGGCATCACCGACCAGCCCCAAGAGCTCGACCAC